AAACGTCAATTTATGGCTCTTCTCCTATCATCCAATATAAACCAAAAATGGAAGGGAATTGTTCTTTGAGCACTATAAAAGGTTCACTTCATTGCTTCCCTAAAAGCCAGTGTACAGCTGGATTCAGCTGGAACTGGAATGGGTGAACAGATGTGAGATAGAGAAGGGCTTTTAGTCTCATTTTGCACATCTGAAGAGGCACTGATAGTTGGGATCAACTTCCATATTTCTAAATATTCCAACTAAAATACCTCTGGTTTATATACTAGATCTGAAGAGCTCACTATTGCCTCCTGTTTACATTTTTTCCCTTTTCCTTTTTCCAGCTCTATCTTTTCTGTTAAATTTTAAACAGAAAATATAGGTTCAACTTCACATTTCCTGTTTGAACCACATCTACAGAAAAACCCCTCTACTGGCTTTATCAGTGTACAAATACACTTCAATTTTAACAATGGTTTATACCTCCCAAACAGCACCAGGTAGCCTGGAATTCACAAGACAGGCTGCCTGTGTAATTAAGGTGTGTATTTAAAGCCACAAAGTTTTTTTTTCATCTCTCTACCCACTTAAAATTCCCTTTTCTAAGTTTTTCTAATGTAGCCAACATTGTTTGGAGGAGAGGGGTCAGGAACTATTATTAGAATTGAGTCAGTACTTCCACAAACCATGATTATAAGGGGTTTATTCATAAAATACTCCCAGGTATCCAAGTCCTTAGTCTAAACAAGACTCATTCTCTGCTCTGGTTCAATGCCTGTCCCACTAACAACCAGGGACTTTCTGCCCTGTTGACCCCCTACTCCTGTTTCTTCATTAGAGGATGACGGAGTTCATTGAGACTGTCTGACAAAAGCCTTTCACTGTGTCACAGAGATTAGAATAAAGCATAGCCTAGGAGGTTAAATATGTCCTCCTTAACTTTTATCAACAGCAGAGTAGGCCCTGCCTGAGGGACGAAAGCACATCAAAGTACTAAATCAAATAAGCCTTGAAAGCGGAAAAGAGCAGAGCAGCATCTGCTCGAGGAAGCTGTAAAGAGGGTTCCCTGACACTGCCGAGAACAAAGGTGAGAGTGTCTCGGGAAGAAGTCACAGCCAAGTTCCCAGTTACAAGAAAAAACAAACAGAGCTTCCAATCCCCACCAACGCAGAAAATCGGTACCAATTATTACCAGGAAATATATTATCACTTTTCCAGTGAAGATTTGCAAGCCCATCTGTGCAGCTCACTGTTGCGTGCAGGGGTCAGAGTCTCTGCTACATAAGGAGGGAAGAACAATGATGTTGTCCACTCCTGCTTTATGCTGTATCCCTACACCTTGACCTGTCTTGTGTTTGATGTTCTTTGGAACTCCTAAATCATAGAATGGTTTGGGTTGGAAGGGACCTTAAAGATCATCTAGTTCCAGTGCAACCAGAAAAAGGCTTCTAGACATTGCCATAGGATGGATTACAACCGGTAACAAAGGGACACGTGGCCATCTGGTCACTTCAAAACTTCAGGGGCTCACCAACCACCTCATAGTTATTTTTCTATATGACAGAGTCTTCAAAGAGCAACAGTTTCTGAGAACTCTATTTTCAGCTAACACTGTTCAACTTGCCATTGTGATTGTTTTGTAGTCCCAGCCCTTTTTTGTTCCGATTCCTTGGCGCACACCATGGTAAAGAATACATATACTGCAGCAGTGATGACATCTGCAACAGCTCCTCTTCCCAAACATCTGGGGATCTACAAGTCTGCCCACATTAAGAGCTTCTCAAAGCACAAGTCATTATCCGGTATTTTTCAGCTGGCTGCACAATAGCTCAGTTCACCCCACAGCAAACTCTGTGTTGAAACACTGGTGTCGACACTTGACATCTGCAGACTTGTCAGAAACTGAGCAGTAGCTACAAAACATCCTCCAATGCCAAAGAAAACTCGTCCCTTAATTACCTCCCAAATTAGAGCTTCCACAGTTCCCTTTCCCATTCCTCCTTGGGAACTGACATGGGAGCTTTGTTCTGGACAGCAAGGGGTCCCAAGAACATGCGCCAGACAGACCTCCCACATTTCTAATTAAGATCCTCATTCTACTTTCACTTAATAGGACTTGGTCAACTTTCCAAAGCAACAAGGTCTTTTGTTGCTCTAAGAAAGAAAGTGAAGCTCTGACATAATGACAGTGCAACTCTTTCAGACTAATTTTATATGAAGCTAATGCCGGGGATAGATTTGCTACTAATTAGTGTGAAAGGTGATCAGGAAAAGATGTATTCCCCGATTCATACAAAAGCCTCTTTGGATACAAAGCCTCTCCAAGGGAAAAAAAATATTAAAAATTATCTACATATATAGCCTCCACAATATAATCATTGTTATAGCTTAAAATATACACACACACACACACAGAGGAGGTAACTTTGTAGCTGACAGGGCTCATCTTTCTCTGCAAGTTAACTTCATTAATTTCACTAAGAATACAACAGCAGTATCGGAGCGAAACCTCTTGCCACATGCACTCTTGGTGTGAAACCTCCTGCTTGAAGCATGAGAATAATACAGCAAATTTAAACTTAGGCAATTCCCTGGAGAAAAATTCTTGTTGATCCTTCATTGTTTCCCCAGCTTTACTGAGCATCTGTGGATAACAATTAGCGTGTGCTTTGCATATCTGACATCACACACCGTTCTGGTTCCATTAGCAGAGAATTCCCCAGTGACTGGGGATCAGTGGAATAAGCTTGCTTGGGCTGTACAGGTTTTAGCTCAATATATTTACATCTATGCAGCTCCCAAATGGCTCACTAGCACCTCTTCTCACTTCACCTTGTTTGAAACGAAGGCTGTAATACCCTGGGCATTTTCTCTTGTGGAACAAGTACTTCTTTCCCTTTGTAGAGTATCCAGGGATATCCTCATTGTTAGGGTGGGTAATTCTTTGTCATTTATTTTACACCAATAATGAGCTCAAACAGTTCAAAACACTCTGTGGTACATGTTATTGTCCAGCTGCTGTACATATATCTTGGCTACTCTGTATAATAATACCTATGGAACAAACCTGTGAGTAATGCAGTGCTCCAATGAAGATCCCTCGTCCTGCCTCTCTGTGAACTACTAGAGCAGTAATTTTGGTATTATTTCAACAAGTCTCTACAGGACAAGATCAAACACTCTAACTGCATTTCCTTCTTTCTGCAGGGAAAGGAGGATTTACCACTATTTCATAACGATTAGTGAGCAGCTTCTGCCCCTGAACCAGGTGTCACAACCTTGCTGTCCTTCCTCCACCCTTGTCCTCCTTTTCCTGTGACTGTTCCCCCCATTTTACATCCAACTGTGCTCCAGACAAAGAAGATATGAAAACTCAAGAAAAGAATGACCCTGCTCATGTATGACCGTTGTTATGAAGAGGCCTTAAAAACCTTCTCCAGGATAAGGGTATTTAACTTCTTTTAATCTTTTTAAGTGGCAGGATTAGTGTTGAACCATGCATTTTGGAGACATGCTTTCCCTGAAAAAAACACACTGGTTGTTTTGGCCTTTAAAATAAAATATTAGTATGACCACAGAAATACCAGGGACATTAATAATATATTTCAAGAGACAAAATGATACAGCAGTTGTCCTTGCTTTATGCACGCTGACAAAACTCACTGCTTGCTCATATGTATCACCTGCTTCAGGTAGGAGGCCAAAATTGTTTTCAGAAGAGGTAATGTTTGCATTACCGAGTGACATGTTCTTGCCTGAGCACGGCTTAGATTGACAGGAGAGGAGGAAATTGAATCCCATTTCTATCTAAAGGGAAAAGTATGAACTAGTTTCAGATCACTAGAAGGCAGAAACTCCTGTGATTGAACAACAGCATATGAGCCATCTAGATTATGCTCCTAGACCAGCCATTCAACAACCAGCTCTTTTGCCACCAGTTCTTTGTCCATATATTAGCATCAGTTCAAAATAATGCTAAAAACAAATCACCTTTTAACATTCTTCTTGTAACAAGTTTTTAACACAACACTGTTAGAAGATTCTGTCTCTTTGATTTCCCAAAGGAATGTGCAGTCAGGATCAGGCAAAGACAGCTCTCTGCTCCACTCACTGAGTAATTTTCATTCACTCCGAGTCAGTTACAAGTTGGAAGGGTTAAATGAACAGAAAGACACTTGCCTCTAACCCATAGAATATATAAGACTTCTGGTTTTCTAACTGGAGGCAAATACTTTAGTGGGTGGAGCTGTGAATAAAGCCTGTGAAGGCGTCTCTTGGGCCCAAGTATTCCATATTCTGGACCATTTTAAACTCAATGGGTGGCACCTATTAATTTGTAATTAAGCCTGGAAACTCTTGTCTGGCAACAAATGAAAAAAACTAAGCTTACTTTGATGTACAGAATAGAGACAAGAGATGAAGTTCTGTAGTTTATATGTGTACTTTGGGTGTACTTATGTATAAAAAAAGATCTTCAGAGTCAATGTGCTGTAGTTATACCAGCATAAAATACTACCACTGATCCAAGCCTAGAGAAATCCACAGAAATTATTTCAGAGGCTTTTGTCTCAGATCTCACAATGCCAAAATACTAAGACACTCAAACTATCTACACTGCAAACTCCCAACACGCCACACAGATAATGTGTTGTACCTTTAAATGAGCAGTCTTGAATAATGGAGGCAGCTCAGTCATGACTGGATGGAGCTCAGCGTTGGGTGTCGTTATTCCTCTCCAAATCAATAATCTTCTAATACTACAGAAAATTCTACATATCATCAAAAAGAATCTCCCTGCCACTTTACTGTAGGTTGTCCAGACCTCTTAGAAAACACTGAGCTTCAAAGAGTTTCAAAGCAATCATCAATATATCCCATTAAAATAATAATACTCCCTGAAAGGATGCAGTAATGCAGACACTTCTGCAGTATTCATGCAAAAGTAGTTGTTGTTCTTAAGATTATCAGTGAATTTGTTGTTTCTAAATGAAAAAGAGGAAAAATGAAACAGGACTCACCATCCTCATGCCCTTCTCTATTTCTCCGCCGATGTCTGTCTCGCCGGTGGCTAATAACTGACTCTGTTCCTGTTTCATTGTCCAGGCCATCCCGGCTGCTGGCAGCATTTGGGCTGTTAGAGAACAAATAAGAAGAAACAGTGGAGTCATCTCTTTTTCTTTTTGATAAAAAACAGTTGCAGTTGTAAGCACGTTGGTTTGGAAGCCAGAAAACTATTACAGAGATTTAATAGAGATTAATAGCACTGCAAGCTTCCCAGATTGCTCTGCTCACCCCAAAACTACCTGAAGGGTGAAAAGACAGTTCAGGATCGATGCCCTGAGACACGGCGTTATTTGCACAAGTAGTATTGTCACGACATTGAAGAAGCTGCCACAAGAACACTGAATATGTGAGGCCACTTATTTGCAACCACATGTTTCAAGACCTTTGCTGAGGAAAAAAAAAAATCAGTCATAATAAAGCTGAGTGGGCCAGAGCAAAGGGGAAGATGGAGATGCCCTTTTTTCCCCTGCTAAACAGAACTAGCTTAGCTCTTTAGTTTTCCCCTCAGGTTCAACCTGTTTTAGGGATCTCTGCTATTCTTACATTTAATAAGCTACCTTACAGCGCTCACATGGAAGGAAATCAGAAAAACCTCTTGGAGTGCTGGCAAAGGCCACAGCTCATTTCAGTGGACTAAACTGTGGAAACCAATCTAAAGCTCCTGAAAATCAAGAATGCCCGATCTGATGTGGGCTAATGCCCTGCTGTGAAAGATTTCCCTTAGGAAGTTATTGGTCACACTCTCCCCTCTCTGTTCCACAAATACCACCCATTTAAAAAGGAGTCCCAATTCACATCTGCCCTTTGGACCTGTTATTTATGCCTGACATGTCCTACTTAGGCACACAGAGTGCAGAATGGCCATCATTATACTCACACTAAAGCATCAGAGCCATGAATGTATTTCTCCTAGAATTCCACGAGGACGGAGTGCGCTGCCATGCACATTTTACCAGGGAATCAAACTACTAATGACCTAATCAACTGGTCCCATGGGCCTCTGTGGAAGCTGGACCCAGAGCTGGTGTATGTGTAAGCACATCTGTACAGTGTTACATTTCAGAGGAGTGCTGAAAACCACCTGCACACCCACACATTTTATTTGGGTTAATGAAATGTACTGACATGCCCACCACACAAATTAGGAAATTGAGGTGATTATTCAAGAAAACATTTGACTGCACATTTTAAGCCCTAGTGAAGCTACCAAAATGTAAGTGTGTATTTAAGTGTTGTCACAAGTATGTTTGCATTTCTTCTTTCAGTCCAGTACAACCCATTTTTTGGAAAGAGGGAGACAGTTTCCTAAGGTCACCCTGTGAGGCTCTCAGACATCTCAGCACCACCATCTAGTGACTATTGCTGATACTTTCCAAAATCACTTCCTAGGCTAAACCCGCCTCCAAAAGGCAGTTACACCATAACAAAGGGTGCAAAGGGAGCCCCACAGCTGCCTCGTTTCCTCTCTCATTGCTGAGCCAACTAAATTCAATTCAGTTTTCAGTGCACGTACCCAAGAGCTGTGTAGGAAAGGTCACTGTTCTCAACTCACTCATGCACCTCCACCTCTAAACCAGGAGCAGCCTCACCCATTCAGATGAACATGGATTTGGCAACCTCTAAACAGAAGCAGTGGAGCATGAAATGCAGGATGAACCTCAGAAACCTCATCAAGGAGGGAAAAAGTAAACTTTCCTTGGATTTAGTCAATGATGAGGCAAAATATCAATGCTGTCAGGAAACTAGTTGAGATTACCACTTCAGCTCTGGTAAGGATCTCATTCCCTTGGATGGCATTACCTGCTGATCTGTCTGCTTCATTTATTTCTTGTATTCTTTGTTGCCCAGCAACATTTCTGTTTGTACAACTGTACAACACCTGGCTCAGCTGGGGCTTCTGATATAAATGAGGCCCCAATCATGACTGAAGGAAGAAGACAGGAGATGACAGAATAGCATTAAAAAAAAAAAATCTCAGGGATTTAGGAACCAAGTCACACTTACAGAAGGTGAGGAAATATGTGACTACACAGCAACACAGAAATTACAGTGGAGAAAGTTACAGGCTTGCACTACTGATCTCTTAAATGGAAATACTATTCAAGGAGACACTATGCAAAAATGGCACTGAACCATTGCAGAAGCACCACACTAAAATCTCAAGAAACAGCACGTTCAAAAATTTCTGGAGAATTGTAAGTGATCAGAAGAGCCTTACGGTCACGATTCAAGTTCTGCAAATCACACTTTACAATCAAAGACTTCAGCAGCTCAACTTATTTAGTTTATCCAAGAGAAACAAATAATTTCAAAAACGGGGGACTCCATCACTTGTATAATCTTTAAACCTAGAGTAGGTGTGTTTTAAAATGAAATTCCAAGAGCAAAACAGAATTAAGGGCTTAATGCAGAATAATGGAGTGAGATACTCTGCCTTGTGTTATGGAAATAAACTTAGGTCATCATCAGGCTCTCTTCTGGATTGGAAAAATAAAACACATCAGCAAAAAACACTACAAAATGTTAAGATATTAAATCGTGAAAAGAAGAACCAAAAAAGGCATTAAGGGAGAACAAGTTTTAGTCCAGAAGACCTCTCAACAAGCCACATTGTCTACTGCAGTTTAAAACAAGAAAGAAAAAAAGTGGTGGAGGAGAGAGACAGAAGGAAGGTGGTTTTATCCAGGAATGAGAACACAAGTCAGAAAGCACGACCTCCTGTGTTGCCTCTCCTGACTCAGCAGGAGTTACTGCACCCCTTTGAGGATTCCCATGTTTGCTTTGTAATATGAAGATACCATCACACTAGCACTGTGCTGACTGATGGCAAGAAGACACAGACAAGAGTTTGAGAGCACTATGGAAGGCAGCAGGTGCATCAGCAGAGCACAGCTTAAATTTCATTGAGTACAGACAGTCATTGGCAGTGAGTAGTGCCACAAACACGGACTTGTGTCTAACTTAAAATGGATTTTTTTAAAAAAATAAGTTTGCTCTTGCAGCTACTACATGTAGGTATAGGTCAGGAAGACAAAGAACTAGTTATATTTGCAGGGCATGTGACTGCACAATACAGGCCTCTCTCTTCCACTCAACATAAAGCAACTCATGAACGCACGAGGGCAGTAAAGCTCTTGCAGAACCGGCAGTGCCAGGCAGGGTTAATATTTCCCAAGATTTTTTGTACCCTCTAGAAGGTATTTATCTCTACAAGACTCACACACAACACTAAGGGCTCTTCCAGGCAATAGATATTGCAGAAAGCAATGGAAACACATGACACCAGGCAAAGCCAGGCCACGTTTCCTTCTCCAAACATACACTAAGATCACAGCCAGAACCAGGTCTTGCTTTAAATCCTCCTTCTGTAAATTCAGAGGACCTCCTTGAAAATAAAGGCATTCTGAGGATATACATTTGCTCTGCACACATAACAGGAAATAACAAGGCTACCATTAAATCAGATGACTCCCAGTCTGGCTACACACAGTGCAAGCTGCTGGCCTCTGTATGCACATGGAGGATGCAATATTCCTTAGAGAAATTTTTGCTCTCGTTATCAGTGTTCTGCTGCCTCTGCCTACTACATAATTACACATAACAGAGTATAGAGGGTTCTCATCCATCTACTATGAAAAGCATTTTGGGCTCCCTCTCTACTTAACTCTTCCACAGTGGGTTTCAAAATGAGATATACAAGATATATATTTTATCCTAACAATGACAGGGTTTTTTTTCTTCACATTCCCCTTTTAATTCCTCATTTCTAGTAAACATATTATTTTTCTAACAATAAATAACCTGTTTGCAGCAGCAAAGAGAAATGTGGGGAAGAAACAGACAGGAATTACATTTTTTTTTGTTTAAAAATTTTAAAAATAAATTAAAAAAAGACAACTTGCTCTTACTGGAAGGATGGAGGTCGGGAGTCTCCAATGCCGCCTGTTCTCTCAATGGGTGGCGGAAGGTCAGCGTGGCTCTCGGTGCACTGGGAGCCTGTGTCAGAGTGGGAGCTTTCAGCCAGGACCAGCTGTCAACAGAAAGAAGAGAATTACATACACTGGTACAGGTTTCTCCACTCTGACATAAGGTGTTCAGTCACTGCTTTGCCAAATATTCTGTGAGATCTAAGGGATTCCTGCCAAATTTTCATAAAATCAGGTTCCATTCTATCTGAACATGAAAACATGATCAGCAAGGAGATGCACAACATTCCTGCAACCACCACAAAATTCTTCTCATCTCAGAACAAACAAGCACACCAGGCAGGGAGTGCAGGCTAACAACAGAAGTGAGACTTGAACTGGTGACCTAGAGCTGAAAAGGTTTATATCCTATTACCAGTCCCCTGAGACATCTAATCACTTTGCCGAGTCTCTTTAAACATTATGATTATAAGGCCTTTAAATAAAAGCTCAAATAAATGATATAAATTATCACCTTTCACTAAGAGGCAACAAGGTCTCAGCTTCCCTCTCTTTTTAGCTGTGGAAGAACTAGCCCTATATAAGAGATTCCAACTGTAACTGGTTAATTATCAAGGACCAATTCTAATCTAATATAATCATTAGATAGATGGTAGCTGTCAAAGAAGGGGATGGAGAAGGATAGGGAACAGGACAGGAGGGGAACGGTGTTCAGGATGCAGTATATTACTCCTAGGAGCATATACCATAAATATGAGAAGGCAAACACACACAGACTGTCAAAAAGGAACTGCCTGAAGACAAACTAGTTCTCCAGCACCACATGGAGTCAGCTGCATTATTCAAACTCTCTTATCACCAAAGCAAAAGCAGCAGAGGAAACACTGAAGGGAAAAATAACATGAGCTTTCCTAATAACTTGGTAATTAATGTTTCTTTCTTTCAGGTGGGGATGTTGATGGGAGATGTTTAGAAAGCATGTTGGCATTATGGAGATGCAAGAATGTCTCTGAGCCTGGCTCATCCCCTGAGGAATCTGTGCAAGTGGTTTCACTAACAAAATCAAACCAAGGGATAAAAAGAGGAAAACAGAAAAAAAAAGAAACTGAGTGTAGGCAAGATCTATACATCCCTTCACCTTGCACACTGTAAATTGTATCAAGCTACATAAACAAGCACCTGGCCAGAGTTATTTGAAAGCAGGAAACCATGTTCCTCCTTTAAGCCTTTCTGCTGATGGCAACACCTGTCCCAAAAGATGCACTGGATGCAAAGAGATGAGCCAGCAAGACAAATCCTTTCCCCATGTCAGGATATTTGTTCTTTAGTATTTCCCTGCTCCTGGAGGAAGAAGTCCTGCAATGCAGACCCCATTAGAAAGGCAAGGCCACCAAACCCATTGAGGTTGCTGAACATCGTGCGAGTGCTGCTGAGCAGAAGAAAAAGCCACTGCAGCAAAGCAACTCCCCTGTGAATACTGTCCCTGGGTTGTGATTTCCTGAAGGATAAAGCACTGGGTACCCATTTTGTAGTGGTCTTCAGTGGGATTAGAGCCCCAAACAGCCTCAGACGAGGCCATTACCATTATAAAGGGAAGGGGGCTGCAGAAATTACCCACATCAGCTGCACTCAGGAAATAGATAACTTTGAACTTGAATCATATAGCAAACTTGAAATATATTTGAACTCAAGAAAAGATACTAACAATATCTCATGCTACTGAGTAGCTTGTTAATCTCAGATAAAGGTCTTTCAAATTTCAAGTAGTAAATCATAAGCACAACAGTCATGATAAGACAGTGGCCAGTGCAGAACTCCTCATGTTTACCTTCCAGAGTTAAGATCCATGCTGCACTGGCTGTACTCCTAGTTGCAGCCTGGCTCAGGCACTTCCACATAAAGTACACTTACTGTAATTTACACACATCCTTCCTGGTGAAATTCTGCCCCTGAGGAGTAATAATAAATAAATAAATGAACAAAATGAAGAGTGTACCAGCTTAAATAGGTCACCTAATATGATCTTACTCTTATGATAACCAGGACCTGGGAGCTCCTGCAAGGGGACCTGACTTCAGAGATTTAAGCAAGAGAGCTTGAAGCAATTATGTTGTTAGAACAAGACACAGACTGTCCAGATCTATGTCTGGTTACAAGTGGAGCACTCATCCTTCATCAGAGCTTTCACTCTCGACTTAGAGATCTCTGTGTTCAAGAGCACTAGAATATAAATGGATGGCTGCAGATCAAATTAACAAAAATACCAGAAAAGAGCATTAGAAAAAAAACATTTTTTGTGCTAGAAAATAAAATCTGCAGTAGGAGATGGCACATGCAGCAAGATTATTAAGACCATACTGTCTAGCTGATTCTTCCTAAGTGTCAAAAGGATGAGAAAGGCAGTGTAACACCTAACACAATGGAATACTGGAATCAACTGGAGCTTTGTAGAGAATTAGCAGCTCTGCCTCTTTCCAGGCACCTCACAAAACGCCTTCAATTTGATGAGAGCTTGATGGTAACTGCAGAAAAGGAAGAATCCTGTGGGGGTGTACGCTTGTTGATGGCATTCACATGTCACTGCCCTGGCTAGACGTGTGGGCACACAGAACTGCTGCTCCCTGCTTGCCATGCTAGCTACGAGTTCCTCATTTCTTCCAGCACTGAGTGACACACTGTAAATCATTAAGTATCCTATAGCTTGAAGACAAATTGTGTCCTTTTCTTTGACAAGCTATGGTAGGAATAAAATGCTCCAACATTATACCACTTCCAACGGAGAAGATAACACACTATCGGATTGCCACATTACAGACTTCTCACTGTGTTTCCACGAGAAAAGCAGTGTTAACCTCAGCTTCCTGGCCAGAATCCAGCCCTCATAATTATATTTCACCCCTCAAGCTTCCCCTGCAGTTTTGACTGGCAGTAGCATTTTAATCCATTTCTTTACGTGCACTGTGTTGGTACCATGTGCTGTTCAAGAGCATGAGCACGCCTGTGGGCTGTAAAACAGCTGTTGGGTTCCACCCCAAAGAACAGTATTTCAGTGTGAAACGTGGATGTCTCCTGTGTGGTGCACATGGAGGAAGTCAACAAAGCACTGAACTACTGAAACTGTTGATTCAGTTCATTCCATGATACTGAATGCTGTCTGTTTTTTCAACTGAGTTCCTATCATCACACTTACTACTAAATCTTTCCCAGGAAGTGGAGAAAGCCTATAAACTCTGGCATGTCAGACAAGAATCTTATGTTCTTCTGATATCCCCAGTGATCCCATACAGCCACTTCCAACTCACAACAGCACAAAAACCAGTGTACTGTGCAAGTCAGCTGCTCTACGCCGCGGTAACAAAAGACACAGCCTATTCTTGCTGACAAAAAGTGCATGTTTCCTTCTGTGCTGGAGAAGGTCACCCAGCATTGCCAGGCACCTGCTAGGAAACAGTTATCTTGGATTTCCAGAAGTGTTCAGTTCACAGTGTCAACACTGTCAACAAATTCAAGTGATGGAGGAGCAGTGAGTAGGAAGAGGGGCTCTCCAACGCATGCAAAACTTTCCTCCACCTGGTGCTGATCACAGCTAGAAACAGGACAGCATCTTACAATTCAAACTTGGATTATATCTAATTTGAGAATTCTTGTGTGCATCAGGCCAGAACCACCCAACACTGCTTTAGCAAAGAGAAGACCATAAGATGGTAAAGCTTTGAAAGAATGTGCTGAATGAAGAAGCTTCATTTTTCCTTCAGGTCTCCCATCCTTCATGGTAACCTGGTTGCTTCTTCCCCATCTCTTTCTCACAGAGACCCTCGCACTCCAGCCCCAGCTGCCTCTTGGAGGCATTTCATTCTCCTATCCTAGGACTCAGATCCTTCCCTTAATAACTCATTCAGGTACCTTAAAGCTTAGGAATGTTTTCAGTGATCCTGCCTCCCTTCTTTATAAGCTGTAAATATTATGGGAGAAGATAAGATTGTGTTAATATCATCTTCACTGTGGGTCAGATATGCACAGCTCTCTATTTTCTCCTGTGTGATAATTCAGTCTGTCAGCAGCTGAATGAGGGTGTATATATAATCTGTGAAGAGAAGAAACAGGTCTTGAAATCAGTTCATTTCATATGTAAGAAATCAAGAAGAACCTGCTTCTGTGGATTTTCATTCACTGCCTCAGTTCTGTGCTGAAAGGCAACAACGCGCTTTGCTGAAGGTCATTTAACAATCCTGAAGCTCCTGTGTTGCCTCGTGTGACAGAAAACTAAACGGTTCTACCCAACAATTGTAATTGTAATTGCAATTGCAAATACAGTGTCTAAAAAGCTCACGTACCAACAGGACCAGTAGGATCTGTTGGCACCCAGATAACAGAGAAGAAAAAAAACCAGAAGGGACAGACTGGCGCAAGGCTGACATCACTGGCAGCCAATGGGAAATGGTGCACATTCCCAGAGCCAGTCAGGGAATTGTTCCCAGATGTTGCAAAGCCTTCCTAAAAAACACAGATAACAGCCAACCCACTTTGTGCAAACTGCTGGCAGAGGCCGCTGGGCTGGCTCCGACCTGACACCGACCACGAGCCAATTCTTTCCACACTCCCAGTTTCCACTGGGAGCCAGTCCCTGGGCCGTGCAAAGAGAACAGAAAAACATTTTAAGCTTTTGCTAAAAGGTAACATGTTCTCTTCTGTGCAAGCTAGTTTTCCAAATTGCCCAGTAAGGACCTGAACCTGAAAGAAACACAAATGTGTTAATAATTTCAGTCAGGTTAGCAGTCCCAAAGAACTCAAAACAAATTATCCCCTGAGAAAAACTATCATGTGTTTTATATGTGTGTGTGTATGTGTGTGTTAGCAGAACAGGCACATGTAACAGCTATTTTTTGCAGATGTGTTTGTGTAAATGCATTTATAGTACTAACTACTAGATTAAGTACTTCACCATGCAGTTAATGCAAGTCTCTATATTGCTGACAAACCTAAAGGTCCACCGCTGAAAACGAAATCTCTATCCCAAATTCTTTAGTCCTTAAAACAAACAAACAAAAACCAAACAACAAAAAACCCACCTCAAAATTAAAAAGACAAGATCTAAGATGCGGAAGAGAAAAACAAGCAGGACACAGGAGGGATGGGGAGGAAGCATAAATAGTTAATCAGGAGCAGTGATTCTAATTCAATCCTAATCTAGCTGTACATCGAGTTCCCAGGGCAGCAAAAGTAAGCAACAACTAAAGACTTGCAGATCCTCCCTTGAACATTTTCCCCTATGGAAATCAGTCCTGCATATGACACCAAGATCAAAGTTCCTACCTATGACAAATAGAAGGATTCAAATGTTATTAAAAAAGATGAAAATCTCAAATTTCTAAGCGTCAGTCATTGTGTAAACTTCAAAGTAGCCACTGAATCAGTCAAGGGAGGAGGTGCAAGGGAAGAGACAGCTAAGCTGTATCATGTGCACTTAATATTCCAATTTTAAATATGTCATCTTGATGTGAAACACACACATATACATTGCAGTAATTTACAGTGAGGACAACAATTATCACAGATGGTTTTGTGAAAGAATACCAAGCTGTTTGCTACTGCCTGATGCATATTTTATAACACAGGAGACAAAGAAAGCTCAGGTCCATCATGTTAAAAACCAGAAAAGGAAACAGCCCTGCCCAAAACACAGTTTTTCCAAAAGGTAAAGACCAACTTTGCCAGCCTTGAAATATAAATGCAATTATCTGTTAAGTTCCAGTGAACAGGATATTAAAGGGTTTGAAACTGTGAACAATTAATTTACAGTAAGATTTACATAAAAGTCCTCCAGTAATTAGCAGCCAACAGAGGCAGATAAGCACTGCAATTTTATGGGTGTTAGTGTGGAAAAAGTAATTTGCAATTGGCAAGGAAGGTCAGACACAGATGTTTCAGCTGTTTGTTTCAGATGTGAGTTTCAGTGTGAGTTTGCTAAGATGGCTGCTGGGCTACTGGTTGTAAACACGTGAGCAAAATCTCCAACTCCTAAAATCAGCACAGGACTGGAGAAATAGATGGAGACAGGGCAGTTAATTCTATCTGAGAATCCCAAGTAGCTCCAGTTGTCCTAACTGTGCAGTTGGAAAAAACTCACGTCAACCTACTTAACTAGTACTACTTCACTGCTTACCTTCGTTCTACAAAGAAACAGGAAGAATGCAAACGTGTATCCAAACATCTCTCCAGTGCTGAAAGGCTGTCCAACACCTCTAGTTACTTCAGCAGAGTTCTCATAACATGGCACTATGATTTCTAACCCTACCTGCATCACTTGTTGAAGCCAAGTCATTTCATACTCAAGTCAAACTTGAGTTTTGGGGAAAACAGTCAATTCTTCTTGTCCTCTATTGTGTTCCAATACCCAGAATTGTAAGGTCAGCTTGAAAGAGGATATTAACATCACAGACTATGTCCCAAATGCTTTTTTGGTGTTAAAATCTAAAGGACTAGTGCTCTCTTTTCTGCCTAAAGGTGCACAATCACTTTAATCAACCTTCAGAGTGGAAAACCTCCTATCCCCAGGTGGAGAAATATGTTCATGAAATGGGCAAACATCAAATTTATCAGTGTGTTTACCTGTGCCCCAAACACAATCTGAAGGTGGGAATTAGGATATTTCATACAGTAACCCTGTGAAGCAACAGACTTTTATTGCATCTCCATTAAGCAGATAATAACGTGGCTAAAGAATTAATCATGTGGAGAAGTGACTGTTATAGTAACAGCACAGATTGTCCGCTGCTGTTCAGCGCTCAGCTCAGCACGCAGCGCAGGTCAGCTCTTCATTAAGTGGGAAGCAACCCAGAAGGTTGTGTAACACTGAGCAGATAGTAATTAATAACTACAGTTAGGTGACAAACATACCATGGCATATTGGAGAAAGTAACACATTAAAAACAGACAAGAGAAAGAGTAAGGGAGAGGGGATCTGCTGAGCAGCACAGTAACTGGGATGAACAGCTGGATCACTGACTTCCTCCACAACTGGACAAATTACTTACAGCCCAAATTCCTCTGCCAAATTCCTGCTTATTTTTCCAAGGCTATAGATTTTTGTGTCTTTTGACTGAAAGCAGGCACAATGTTTAGCTCAGAGATTTAAATCTCATTTAAAACCTTCCAGGCACTACCACAATACTGATACATTTAAATTAAAATAACAAAAATCCCCCAGAATATCACATTTAGCTGTTTTTGAATAAGTTGTTTTGGCTGCTAAGTGACAGTATTAAAACTCAATGATTCGGTAGAACTCTGATTACTGTGTAACACAGACAAAACTGTGCTCACACCTCCCTATGAAGAGCAAGCTGGCTGTTACATTTAACCTTATATTGTAAGACAATTTTAATTTCATTTTTTTTTTAAACAAGGATTCCAGCTTGGCTCTTACTGCTTTCAGCAAAAGGTAAACATGTAAATGTTTTTAGAAGTCTAGCCTTATTTTGGGAGGTTTTAATCATAGAATCATAGAATGGTTTGGGTTGGAAGGGACCTTAAAGATCACCTCCATCAGACTCATTAATACTCAGGAGGCAAGGAAGAGACAACAGTGGGAAAGAAAAGATGACCCAACATGTTACTAACATGAAATGTTTTGTGTTTGAAACACCTTTTCAGCCCTGTAAACCTTTGCAGACTTCACTCTGATTTTTAAAACAGATTACTTGATAACAGGATGTTACAGATAACAATTAAAAACTAAGCCTTTGCATCTGTGTAATTTTAGATTCAAGACACTTATAAAAATCAGGATCCAACTACCCTGCTACTGTGCCCACTGTACTGAAGAACATACACACACAGACACGTGAGCCAACATACCCAGGACACCACTCTTCCATTGAAGCAAGGTAGCTTTGCATTGTCGTCTGAGATCTCCTCCTTTACCACCCTGGAAAAAAAAAGAAAAGAAAAGAAAAAAAAAAACAATAGGAAGAAAATCAATGGCTCTCCATTTGGTTTCTCTGATTAAGGGTAAGAATAACATCATTCTTCAAAACAGGAGCCTACAGAGTCACCAAAATACAGGACTCCCTCCTCATACCCTCACTCCCTTAATAGGACATGAATAATTTCTGCCTAGAAAGCAGACCTTAAGGACAAGCTTCCTTTCAAGCCTTTTTTTAATTATTATTTATTTTTTAATTTTTTTAAAATTGATGCAAACTCTAAACCCAGCATCTGGCAGAAGCAAGGCAGCCCCAGGCAGGGCAGCACTGAGAATCCCACACTACATATACCACACACCCTGTACAGCAACTCTCAAAACCTGAAGCTCTGCACAAACATCTCTTCAGATGCTACTGCTGCATTTTCAAATGGATTAGAAGATCTTCCAATGGATTAGAAGAATGGATTCTTCTTGTGGATTCTTCTAATTCTACAAGCCAGGGCTCAAGCAGGGATGAAATGCAAGTTTCCATTCAAATGCAGGACTTGTCAAATTCCTGTTTCAGATAGAAATACTCCCACACATTTGGGGACATTTCAATCCATTTTAGTCTCTTACTTCAACAGAGCAGTAAGCCCAGGACAGAATTTACCTGAATTCACTCAACCCATAGTACTCAGAGTTACAGAAGTAGCATCAATGTTCACAAGCCCATGGCTTCCTTTAAACGCAGAGCTCTCCTCTTCCACTTCTGCCTAGACCCGAACAAACTGAAACAGCCGACACCAACAGAGCACTTCTGCTAAGTCCTGGGAGTCACTTCTCCAAGAAAGTGTTTGTTTCATGATTCTGAAGAGTTAGGGATATCCACAATGGTGGCTGCCCAGGACAGGGAGAATTAGCTGGGTTTTTTGTTGGGTTTTGGTTTATATCTTAATATAAAGCTTGAAGGAACTGAGCTGAATAATAGAAAGTCACTCGACTCCAAAAACACCAGGTTCATTCTTAAATACAAAGCTTTGCTCAAAGCTACGTGTTGATGTCAATACTCAAGACATTCTGTTACTTAAGGGGTCCCACTAAAATTGGGAACCTTTTGAACAAGGCACTGTACAAACACACAGGAAAGCTCTTCAGAGTGGGGACTGTCTAAATATGGGTAGAGAGGAGATACAGTGGCACGTTTGTACAGAGTCAAACAGCAGATTCGGAGCAGAAAGAGATTTCTGGCCTCAAGTCCCTACACAGCAGAACAGGGACAATTTGGTTCTGACAATCTCTAAGCTTTAAAAAAGCCAACCTAAAGTCTAGTCAAACTCAGTAAAAATTTGTGGTTCCACAACCACATTTTCCTTTATTTATGTTTTTGTCTTTCTTGTTGCTGTGTAAAAATACCCACAAGAGCCACAGAGCAACTGACTATGCATGAAACAGTGTCATATTATGAGGGGAAAAAAAACTGGTTAGGAAGGAGAAGAGAAGAGAGGAGAGCAAATGGACAGAGTTTCTTTCCATCTTACTTTTGGAAAACTAGAAGTAAATAACACCACCACTAATATCTCCATTTGCACATTTTAATCTATTTTTTAAATAAGGAAAAAACATTCTCTTCCTTCTCCACATTTATTTGCATTGTTAATGGCTAGCAGTACCATATTAGGCAGACTTCACCCTGTCCTATTATGGGAAAAAAAACCAAACAACATTTTAAAATATTTATTTAACTCCTAATGCATCTGTCCTCCCTTCACCTTTCGGCAACAGGAAACAGATCATGATTTCATTATTGGTTTTAGTCATTTATACCGAGATTCTAAAGAGACAATTAAAAGTCAACTCCATTGAAATCAACAGATACTCGGTGCTTTAAAAACCTCTGACAATTCAATTAAGCTCTCAGACCTGTAATTCTGGAGCTGCAGACTCTGTGCATACAGAAGATTTCAACAGGGATCTGCAGCCCCAACGGACCGACTCCAATTCAGACATTACCTTTTGTGGAGAGAACACTCACTGAGCAAAGACCCAATTGCAGGATCAGTAAATAAATAAAGATGCTGCAATAATTTTACCTTGGCAGCTGCACATTTTAAATGACAGTATTTCCACTTCCCACCCCCTCCGTAAGGAAATGCCACTTACTGCATCCCAGAAATCATACGCAGAAGTTCTGCTCTAAGATTTAGGCAAAAGTCAAGCAGTAAAAACACACTGATTGTGAGGTTCTCTCCAGAGAAAAGGCTTGGGGTTTTTCTAAAATTGACACGTGCAGTGGCAGGATATCCCTGCAATACTGCACAGACTGGTTGAGTTGCTGTCCTCGTGATGGAAAGGAGCCCGCTGAAGTCACCACTTACAGCACAACGCGCTCTATCACAGCATTAACCTTCTGCTGCAGCTAAAGGGAACAACTTCCAGATCTGTTGCAACTTGAACTACTAAATATAGCCTTGAGCTATGAGGCAAGAGAATGACAGACTAATTCCCAGCTTGCTTTGGGTAGCAATCAACAATGCCAAGAACATCAAAGACAGCAGCAGCTACTAATTTCAAATATCACTGTTTTACAAAATCATTATTTGTAGTAAAGAGGCAGATCCTTTCAATTCTCAGGCAGGGGAAGAAACAGAGAGAAGGCGAGAAAAGAATATGAATGGCTGCAGCCATATGCTTCGCTCTGAGGATAACTCTGTATTCAAGAAGACGTCTTTCTCTCTATGAGAACCTGAAAACAAGGGCAGAGGGAGCCCAATGCCACTGCCTGCTTTCAGAACACACATGCTCCATTAGGAACTAACACACACAGCAGCTTAAGACCACGGTGGATGAAGCCCTAAGTAATGGGTTCACAACCTAACCCAACCCAAGCTAGCATGGCAAGGAAGAGGTGATGCCTTTGATCTCCCAGAGACCTCCTGCTGAGGTGAAGAAAAGTCTGTTGGTATTGGCTGTGGTCCACTGTGGAGATATGACACCAGTGCTCTCACACACAATCATTAGCAGACTTACTGTTTGATAATAAGAACAAAAACCATCTGATATCAAGAAACACAACCTCTGCTCTCATGGAGTTAAGGTTTCCCTTCAGGAGAAGGGGTATTTGTTTCCTAGGTCACATCCTACCTCCTGGCAACACTGTGCCCCTGTAATTGCTGGTGAGGTTGAACACATGCACTCTCTATTCCAGCTGAACCCTCTGCCTCACCGAGGTTATGAGCCACTCTGGGTCAGAGAGAAGAGAGCCAAGAAACACCCATCCACAAAGCCATTTACAAAGCTACCACTCAACAAATCAAACAGTAACAGAACAAACCAGTCACTTCCAGATAACCTGGGTTGCAACACCTCCCAGCAGCAGGTCCACCCCACATTGCCTTGCTGTGCTCCAGCCGTACACGATTCTCCTCGGCAAAGGGGAGGGAGAGGAGACTCTGCCAGCACCCCAACAATTTAGTGAGAGATTTTCCTTCAACGTTCAGACACTTGTAACATCTTCCTCTTCACCCTATTCCAGAAAACTCTTGATGTGCAAGATATTAGATCCTTTAGTTCATCCACACACAGAGAGCAGGGGGGTTGGAACTGGATGATCTTTAAGGTCCCTTCCAATCCAAACCATTCTATGATTCTGTGATCCTTCAAATGCATCTACCAAGGAAAAGGAAGGTAAGAACCCAGGGGAACAACTCACCCAAGGTCACACAGCACATCAGGGACAGATCATGAGAAAGACCCCACGCTCTTGAACACCCTCAAGCACCTGCTCTACATTGTCAGCAAGCTCCCCGCCATCAAATCTCACACCAATACAGTCTTCGCTTAGAAAGACTATGAGCAAAAAAGGGTGTGGATGTGCGGGGAAGGGGAGGAGGGACCAGTTCTCAGAAGCTCACATCCTCTGCTTTATTTGACTTAGAGGAGACTTAAGAACTAATTACTAAATGAAACAATCACTGCTGGTAACAGCCCCTCCTTCCTCTCACTTCCTGGAATTGTGTCTGGATCCTCTGACTCTGCTACCACCCTCCTCTGCACAAACAGGTACTTGTGCATTTACCAAACCCACTCTTGCTCACCCTCTCATACCTCACCTGTTTCCATGATGGGTTTATACTCCTGGTTACTTTCTCTGTATTCTGACTTCTTGTTTTCCTTCAAAAAGGATTTTACCCCAAAGACCAAGGACTGTTTAGGCTTTTGCTCACTCTCATCCCTCTGCCAAGCTGCTTGCTGCCTCACAATATATGCTGACTCCGTACTAAGAATACCAATTGAACCCCACAAACCTTAATGACTCTGATTCACAGGCATTTAGGCAATTGAATATTAAACACTGGGCTTGATGGTGTTGCATACACTTGCATTTTGATTGCATCATGCATACCTGGGAGAAACTTAATCTCCAGAATTAGCTAGATTATTTTTTTTCCTTTCTACTCAGAAAAATGAGGTTAACAAGGAAATCTTCCTTTGACTCACCAGTTGCAGGCCTAACCCTCCAAGGCCACATAGGTTGGAAATGCAGGGTTGAGACAGCAGTGCAGCCCCTACAGATTCATTCCAGGTTAATGTGTACCATGCCACAAAGTCTGCATCCTAATTTACTGTATTACCAGATTAATTCCATTTGTCACTGTGATCATAATCGAGTCTTTTCTTAACTCTTTCTTATTATCCTTCACTGACGGGAGAAGGAGGAGAGAAGCTTCATTCATTACTCTTTGTAACATGCTTGGAGATCCTTAGAGAGAAGGCAAAGTAATTAAGCCATTTGTTCTATATATATCTGCAGTGATTCCCATCACCACAGAAGCAGGCAAGAGATTATTCAGATCTTAATTTTAATTCATAGAATCATGTAGGTTGGAAGACAAATCCAGGGGTCACCTAGTCCAACCTCCTGCTCACAGCAGGTTTAGGGTGCTCAGGGACATGTCCAGTCAAGGTCTGAGCTTCCACAACCTCTTTGGACAACTTGATTCTACTTATGAAG